CTTATTTTTAATTTGTATTCCAAGAACATCTTTAGAGAGGCCCCTGCTAATTCAAATGATATCACTAACAATAAAGAGGTTATGATTAACATCTGATACACAGATGATAAAGAATTATCAGCTGACAATTCAGATAGTGCGCAAAGATTACCCAGTAAAGCCAATAAAGTAATGAGTACAGTATAAAAATCAGTATGAGAATCAAATTCTTGGCTACCAGTAAAAATCAATTCCAAGAAATGCAGGTAAAGGCCCCAAATAAAAGTATGAATTGTTCTGGCAAAGATATTTACCTTGAAAAATGGTTGGATAAGTGGTGGTGTCATGTTCTTCCTGGCGGAATGCTCCTCAGATAGGACCTGTAGCCTGCACTTTTGACCTGCCTGCTGCCAATTCCTTTGTGCATTGACCCCATCTGACTTGGTAAAATCTCTTTCTGACAAGGGACTGTACCCTTGTCAGAAATGGACTTGACCAAGTCCGCTGGGGTCAGCACAAAAAGGCATCCGGATGAGACAGTTCAGATTACAGATCCTAGCCAGTAAGGCACTTACTGACTGACATCAGATAAGTGGAATCATAGCAATGCAATAAAAGTCAGAAAAGAGACAGTCAGGGCAGCTTCCTTTAAATGAATAATGTATGCAACAAAAAATTAAAACTGGTTTCAAATAAAATGCATTTTATGGTGCTCGTTATTGCCAGTGCTACTGTATGGCATAGACTTTAACACAGGCAACTATTAAAAGGCAGATGTATTTGAAATGTGGATTTATTGCAGTATGCTAAGAATTTCCTGGATGGAGAGAGAGCAAACAACAAAATAATTAGTGAGGCAAATAAAAACCAATAAATCATAATATTTTTACAATACAGTAAACTAGAATAGGGTTGCCATAAGTTGGAAGGGACTTGATGGTGCACTGATGGTTATAATTGATGATTCAAGCAAAAACTGGGAAACTACAAATAAGAAAATAACATATTGGCTGAAGAATTGGTAATAGTTGTTTGGAAGCAAGATGACATTACTGTTGAGAGCTCCCTGCAAAGTCAATGTAATATTATAATGTCTAACCTCTGATGTGAGAAGACCAACAACAAGAAGTTATATCTTAGTTGTAATTTTCACACTGACCCAATAAAAAACAAGGTTTGCAGTCACATGGGTCAAAAATTGCTGGACCATCTTGGACTGGACCAACTTCCCATAGAACTGCCTCTGCAGAGTTACATTCGGATGCTGCTTTTATGCTGCAAACTACACAAAATCTGAATAGGCTAGTTTTCAAAAAATCTTTCCTAGATTATATGTAGACACCTAGATAAATGTACAGTTGTACACCAACAAATATTGTGGTGTTGATTAACTAATAATTTGGGTAATGGTACAGCCTTATGCATCAGTAGGTAGAAATGCTGTAATTAGTGTATCATATTATCAGGCCTTCTCAAAGCCCAATTATAATGTCATTGTTCATTATAACACCTTTGTGCAAAATGATGGTAAGGTCTCACCTTGAGTATTGCAAACAGTTCTGGTCGCTGCATCTCAAAAAAGACATAGTGGAACTGGAAAAGGTGCAGAAGAGAGCGACTCAAATGATGACTGGGCTGGGGCACCTGCCTTATGAGGAAAGGCTACAGTGTTTGGGGCTCTTTAGTCTAGAGGAAAGGTGCCTGAGGGGGGGACATGATTGAGACATATAAAATTATGCAGGGGACAGATAAAGTGCATAGAGTGAAGCTTTTTCCCTCTCACACAATACTAGAACCAGGGGACATCCATTCAAATACAGTAGAGTATTGGGAGAGTGAGAACAGACAAAAGGAAATATTTCTTTACCCAGTGTGTTGTTAGTCTGTGGAACTCCTTGCCACAGGATGTGGTGATGACATCTGGCCTAGATGCCTTTAAAAGGGGATTGGACAGATTCCTGGAGGAAAAGTCCATTACAGGTTACAAGCCATGATGGGGATATACAGCCATGGCCAAAAATATTGGCACCCTTGTAATTCTGTTAGAAAATGCAACCCTTTTCTCAGAAAATTGTTGCAGTTGCAAATATTTTGATACTCACATGTTCATTTCTTTGGTTTGCATTGGAATAACCCCCCCCAAAAGAAGAACAGTCAAATCTGATACAACCCCACACAGAAACCCAAAAATGCATAGTATCATGAAATCTGATGATTACCAAATAATTTTGGGGCTTTTCTTTCTTTCTGCAGCTCTACATATTTAGAGATTGTGTATGGTGAGGGCAGTGCACTCCCTGTATTTGCTCAGTACCGCTCTCCATTATTCTTTCCTATATTTGATAAAATAACCTTAAGGAATGAATTCAGCCTTGGGTGGAGCCCTGAGAAACTGTGTTGAAAACATTGGCCTTAGTTGCATCCTGTTTGGATTATTCTAATGTGGAAACACAATCCAATGTGTTTTGGATTATTCTACATGGGTTGCTTTTAGAAAATGTTCACATTAATCTTCAAAGAAGGTAATGATACACTACAACTACAGTCATACAGACCAGTCTCCTTACTAAATGTGGATCATAACATTTTTGCCTGCATAACGGCGAACAGACTTAAGTGTAATACAAAAATAATACACCCCAATCAGACTGGATTCGTCCCTAAGAGACTTATGCGAGACATAAGATTTATAATAGATGCAACAGAATTTGTAGGAAAAACAACAACATAAAACAGAACTTATTAGAAGCAAATAAAGCATTTGATAATATTTCTTGGAGCTTTCTAAGTAAAGTTTTGTGGCATGTGAATTGTGGCACAAAGTTAAAAAATTAGAGTCAAGGAATTCATAAGAAACAAAATGAAAAATATTAATAAATTGGGTTTTAACTTGGGGCCATGGTCTCAAAGAACTCAAGAGCCAGCCCAGAAACCTGCGCCTCCCAGGACCAGAAGCCTCGGGGACCCCAACAGTGCCACGGAGACGAAGTCTGCCAGCTCCGGTATGGAAATGGCTGGGTTGCGGAAAGCACGGTAACCCAGCAAGATCCCAAATGACACGGGGAGGACCTCTAGACCCACTGTCACTGCCGCAGAGCACCTAACAACCTCCAGGGTGTTCTTGTACACAATGGCTACTCACCCCCTGACCCTCCAGTCTATCCTGGTGCTGGACTGCATAACCGGGAGGACAGGCAAGAGTCAGGGGGACACCCTGTACCCTGCCCATCCATGTTTCAGTTATGCATGCCAGATCTGCATCCTCCTCCAGGATCAGGTCTTGTATAATCTGGGATTTATTTGATACAGATCTGGCATTCAACAACACCAGGTTTAGAGTGGAGGGCTGGCTGAATTGACTACTTCGAGTCTGGCAGGAGGTCACAGTGCCAGAACAGTGAACAGATTTCAAGCATCTGTTCACTGTTCTTCTGGAACAAATCGCTACTGCACCTCTACCATACCTCCTCCTGCCAGAGATTCCCCTGATGTTGGAGAGACCCCCTCGGGAGGGGGGGCAAGACTTCCACTCCGTGCCAAACAAAAGGAGAAAAAAGAAACCAAAAATTAACAAACTAAAAAATAACAAATAAATAGTGACAAGGATTAATAAATCAAATAAAAAAATAAAACAAACCGTAACATAATAAATGCAATGAAATTAAATTAATAACATAAGCAGCTAAAAATTAACACTTAGAAAAAGGGAGAGACAAAACAAAATAACCCCCCACCCAGATCACGCAAAGACCTTTGTCCTCTGCCAGGCCTTTTTCCAGTAAGTTGCCTTCCTATGAGGGGATGCTGTTTTTGAGGAGTCTTCTAATAGAGCCCAATGGGCAATAAGCCTACAGCCTCCATGAGACCTGGGCCTCTCAGGAAGCACCAAAGCAGTTTAATGTTGGCACTGGCTTGGAGTAGGCCCAAGGCAGCCTGGAAGAGAGTGAAAGAGGCACTAGGCATCAAATTGAGAATACTGTACATGTTCACTAGCACAGCATTCTAAAGAATTTCAGAAGTTTGTGCTTTATAAATAACAGCAAAGCCTCTGACTGCATAGATCAGGAAAATCTATACGTCATTTTGAAAGAAACAGGTGGGCCCCAACATTCAGTTGTCCTGATGCGTAACATCTACACTGAATGTGACAACTGTATTTAAACTCGGCCTGTCCAAACTATGTGCATACCATATCATATGGACACCTGGACTAGGTTTAGATGAATTAGGAGTGAAAATTAATGGAAGAAACATCAAGAATTTAAGATACCGAGATGACTCCATATTATTGATAGAAAGCAGCAATGACTTGAGACAAGGACTGAAGGAGGAAAAAGAAGGAAGTGCAAAAGGAGGATAATGACTTTTAAGCAGAGCACAAAACCTCCAACTGCAGAAGAATTACATGATGTTAAGGCTGTCTGAAAAAACAAACATCGTCAAAGGTTTTGTACATCTTGGTTCAATCCTCAATCTAAATGGAGGCAGCAGCCAAGGAATCAGAAGACTTAAGATTTGGAAGGGCAGGTGTGGGGGAACTAGAAAATGATCAAGTCCAAGGACATGTGTCAGTGGAGACCGAGGCCCAGCCCAGACCGCCCAAAAAAACGCCCCAACTCGCTGCAACGAAGGCCTGCTTCGAGAGCCATTTGAGCGGGCCGCCTTCCCTGGGGCTCCGCCCTTCTCTGCTGGCGACGAGGCACGTGGGGCAAAGGTAGCGCGCTCGCTGGCTGGGAA